CTAGAAAATACCATTCAGGTCCAAGAAGTCATTACTGACAAGTGCTGTCTGAGTAAAGCGGACTCAGATATTGCCTGAATGTTTGAAAAGGGACAAAAGTGGTCCCGCTTTTTTTTTTGTCGTCGTTTACTCAGTAAACATATCCTTGGCCTAGTGTATAATCTCAGGCATGTCTTTTTTTTTTTTTTTTTTAATGCAGTAGGTAATGTAGGTCTGTAAATTTAACCCTACCGGCATTGTTAGTGATTTGCAACATGCCTGTCAAATATGATAAAACGATATATATTTAGTTTATGTTACTTCTTGGTGTGATTGGACAGTTTCACTTTGAGGACTCAAATGACCAGACACGTCATTAGGTACATGTGCGTAATATAATGGGCTTGGTTTCGATAGATTTGCTCCTCTCAATCAGCGCAAAGCATTTGATACGGCTCTTGTAGTAACCTGAAATTAATCTTTCGCTTTTCCGTCTTCATCGGTTGTCTGTCTGATTGTTGCATCAGGTAGAAGCTTGAAGAAAGGCCTCCGGTTTTACCAATGTGCCTGTCAGCTACGTGAACAGATCACATCTTTTCTAACGCACCTGACCATGAAATTGGGGTGATTGTGAAATTTTAGACAAAGCTCTGATTTGATGAGACTCAACAGAGGATGACTGTTGCTTGATTGGTCATAAAAGGATTTGTTAAGGGGCAACAATGTGCATGCCTTCATATTCTTGTTTACAACCTTGCAGTACACGAGACGCCATTTGATGGGTTGCAGTGTAATATTACCGCCACCAAGTGCAAAACGGCAATGACATCAGATTAAGTTCCCATTAGTGTTTGTTAGCAGGACTGTACCAAAAAAAAATGACCTAACCAGCTGCCATATAAACCTTTCGTGTGAATGCAAGGCCTTATTTTCTACATTTACTGCTACAGTCTACTTACGTTGGGGCCAAATGGTGCAGTGACCAAACATTTCCAGCAGGTAGAGAGCTCTACCTCCAGAACGGGAGCGGAACAGGCTTTGAATGTCATGATGGGACATGTTGGGGATTGTTTGGCCTTGGCTTAGGCCTGGTCTCTCCTGAGTGTCGCTTGAGTTATCTTTGTGTTTGTTTGAAACTACGCTTTATGGTAATGAATTTACAGCACATTGGAAAGGGAATCATCCCAGCAGCCGGTAGTTGGACTGTGTTGTGAAGTGGTTTCAGAATGCCGAAATGACGGTGATGATGTGACACGCACTCCGATAGCGCCATCCAGAATCCAACCTGAGAGCTCTGCGTGGCACCTCCCCAAAAAGAATTCGAGTCCAAAATTCTCCACAGGGTCTTTTCATCGCCTGGTGTGTATCTTAGAGAGAATGGCACAGCCATTAATTGTTTGTCTTCTTGGAGAACGGGAGCATAAAACTGATGGATGCATTAGAGAATGAGTCGACGTGGCGAATGAGTCATGGACTCAAGAATGTCCGTTTGTCCGTTTCATATGGCATTTCAGTTTAAATTTCAGACTTTGTCCCGTTCTCATTTTGACATTGATTAATGTACTTGCCTCTTCACAGTGCATCAAAAACTGTCCGCACTGCCAGTTGCTGCTTTTCACAGCTCACGCTCAAGTATGTCAGAAGACCGGATAAGGGAAAGGTCGGTCGACCGGCGTAAAACAAGTGATATCATTCAAATAACATGATGCTTACTTTTCTACCGTGCGCATTATGAATGATTTTGAATTTGAATGATGAGTTCCCAACCAAATGGTGCAGTGACCAAACATTTCCAGCAGGTAGAGAGCTCTACCTCCAGAACGGGAGCGGAACAGGCTTTGAATGTCATGATGGGACATGTTGGGGATTGTTTGGCCTTGGCTTAGGCCTGGTCTCTCCTGAGTGTCGCTTGAGTTATCTTTGTGTTTGTTTGAAACTACGCTTTATGGTAATGAATTTACAGCACATTGGAAAGGGAATCATCCCAGCAGCCGGTAGTTGGACTGTGTTGTGAAGTGGTTTCAGAATGCCGAAATGACGGTGATGATGTGACACGCACTCCGATAGCGCCATCCAGAATCCAACCTGAGAGCTCTGCGTGGCACCTCCCCAAAAAGAATTCGAGTCCAAAATTCTCCACAGGGTCTTTTCATCGCCTGGTGTGTATCTTAGAGAGAATGGCACAGCCATTAATTGTTTGTCTTCTTGGAGAACGGGAGCATAAAACTGATGGATGCATTAGAGAATGAGTCGACGTGGCGTATGAGTCATGGACTCAAGAATGTCCGTTTGTCCGTTTCATATGGCATTTCAGTTTAAATTTCAGACTTTGTCCCGTTCTCATTTTGACATTGATTAATGTACTTGCCTCTTCACAGTGCATCAAAAATTGTCCGCACTGCCAGTGGCTGCTTTTCACAGCTCACGCTCAAGTATGTCAGAAGATAAGATAAGATAAGATAAGATAAGATATCCTTTATTTGTATAGAAGACCGGATAAGGGAAAGGTCGGTCGACCGGCGTAAAACAAGTGATATCATTCAAATAACATGATGCTTACTTTTCTACCGTGGGCATTATGAATGATTTTGAATTTGAATGATTAGTTCCCAAAGTATGTTTTGCTTGAATGAATTAGACTTGGGTCAGTTTTACAAAGAAAACATGTTGTTTCACACGTAACTGCCATCCTCCCTTTCAAGTGCGCATGTGTGTTTTGTGGTCATGTTTTTTTTTTCCACGTCAAGCCATAAATAGAAAGACAACAGGCACGAGAGGGTTAAGAGGCGGCTGTTCCGAGATGCAATTATGCCACACTGTAATTTAAAGCGCCGATCCCAGCAACGTCTAATGACCTTCGGGTTTTGACTCTTGATTGCTTTCGGCGGACAGACATAGTGCATGTTTTCACTCGCGGATTTGTGTCCCAAATGATTAAAACCTATCTGAAATAAACGGTAATTGGGTCATTTTAAACAACCTGCAAATTTCTTCCGCAGTCACATTTTCCACCGTCGCGGGCAAACCGACGAACAAATACGTCTGTGGCTTTTAAGCAGTAAGTCGGCGTGCTGCAATGTATAATTCCAACTTGGTTTACACAGATTTAAGTCGAGAGTAAAAACATCACCTTAATTGAGGGTCACGTTGTGGAACAGAGACTATCGAGATTTAAAAAATAATTGGGACTGCTGTGCTTTGGAGGCGGAGAGATAGCTCTCGCTGGTGAACAATGAGCACTTTTCATAGCCAGAACCGTGAATGATTAAGTGGCTCTGATGAAAATGTCAATCGTTTGGTGATGTTTTGGCGTTTGTGATTTTTCAGATTGACAGCTCTGCAGCAAACACAAAGTCCAACACAGAATCCAGAAAATATTTACGGAACGTGCCTTGCTTCAATGAGACCTCCACTCTAGGGAAGGTCATGGCAGGTAACACAAGTTCACATCAGGTGAGAAGGAAAGCCCGTGAAATTTGAGAAAATAAACCCTCTCTGACCTTAATCAAAGTGATTGCAGCACTTGAGTACTCAGAAGAGAACATGTTTGCACAAGAGTGTTATAAAAGTTAAATTTCCCCCGTTAAATGAAAAATAAGCACAAATAAACAATAATTACACAGATCCCCGACTCTTCCTATGGGTCTTGCTGCTTAGTCACCTCCTCCGAATCACTACCTTGGATAAACCCCAAAGCAACACACAGCTGAGGACCTCTGGAGCTTATGACTCATGAGCACATGACGTGACAGGTTTTTATAATGGAAGTCAATGAGAGGGTTGATCAGATGTAATCAGCCGCCGCGTGGCTATAAACGGCCAGAATCCACGTTTTCCGAGTTTTGCAGCATGGATCGCGTTTGCTCCGATCCTGATGGAATAATTGATGTTGCAGGAAAAAATGTTGGTTTTGTATTTGATAGCAGATTTTGCTGCGGGCTGTTTGTCTAATGAGAGAAAAACTAAATCTTGAACGTTAGTCAGCCTCAGAATCGCGTGACGAGGACAATTTTCACCAAGCAACCAAAACCTGGGGTGAAAGGGGACGTTCGTGTTGTTGGGTGTATTTAATCATCGTAAATGGCCGGCTGATTTTGAAAGATCACCTACTCAGGATGATGACAGTCATAAGGTCCAAAAAGTTCTGATTTTCATTTCTTTTAACTGAGGTCTTCAACGACTTTGAGGGATCATTGCTCAGAGTTGCAACAACAACCCCGTAGATTTCAAACGAGATCCGCCCCAAGATGAAAAAAAATTCAAAGGTTGCTATTCTTCATCATGTCTCTCACTACTTACTAACAACTTGTTAAGAATGGGCTGTTGGACAGCTGGTGACCGACGGTGCGGAGACCCCACATGGAGTATGTCGACGCCTCAACCGTATTAGATGTGGCAAATCAAAGTGATTTGTGAGGATGCCTCGTTCACTTGCTCCTTGGAGATGTATCGTCAGGCCAGAACTCATTGGATACTACGCCATCGCTCTCAATTGTTTTATGTTTTATATTATTCGACTTCAATTTTGTGAATGATTTTAGGGCAAATACTTTGGCCACATCCAATATGGCTGATAAGGTCATATTGACAGTTATTCACTCACGATTTAGAGCCATCCATGAATCTAATGCACATGTAATACGAAGCCGGAGGAATCGTAGAAACTCTCGACAGGAACCGAGATTCAAACACGAAACCTCAGAATTGTGAAGCAGACCTGCTCCAATTGCTTGCCACCATGCAGTGCATCGTATAACGTTCCCCCAATTAAAAGTAAAAAAAAAAAAAAATGAATACGAATATCTTTATCATGTTGTGCAACACTAACTAATGCTGTCTGAGTGAAATGCATTTAAACCAGATGTAATGGTCATGGTTAACTTTTTTTTTTTTTTTTTGCAGCAGAAGAAGCAGGGTGCCTCGTC